GATCCCACAGCAGCACCGTGGGGACGCCTCTGCAGCGCTAGCCAGGCTCCACCCTGCTTCACCCTGTTCCTCTCGCCTCACTCCACAGTTTGAGCTGGATCACCATTTCTCTCCCCAGCTATCATGCAGTATCTGCACAGGAAGCAGTCACGTCTGGGTGTCAGTCCTGAAGATGCCGGTCCCACCCCCAATGACCTTCTGTGCACTTACTGAGCTATACAGCACTGAGTTGTTGGCCCAGCAGCCCTGATCCTGCAGCACCATTCAGCATGACCCATGCTACAGGCATGCAGCACCTGGCAGATCCCCCCCTATGCTCTGCTTGCTGTTTCTCCAGTACTGATCTCTTACTGCTCTGCAGCGCAATCATTCTGTGTCCACAGCCTTCTAGCAAGTGCTGCTGCTGCGCTTGCTTCTGATGTAGCCACAGGACACTGTGTTTAGCAGTCCCTTCCCTTTCTGATCAAAGCACATACAACTTCACAAGGTGAGCGTGAGTTCAAGCATTTGCGTCGGTATCCAGAAAGCTCACTCCTAAGGAGACACATAGTATGGCGACACAGATGAGCCAGTTCACAGCAGCCCTACTTCGGGGGGAGATTAAGGAAGAGTGATGCTTTGTCCTTGCAAAGATACAATCCCCTGTTAGCTTCAGGAATGGGATTTAGTCACGCTTATAAGGAGAGAGAGCCTTCAGCTAAGGGCAAGCTGAATTTCCTGACAATGCAAAACCAGAGAGGCCCTTTTCAATAGCCCTCTCCTCACTGTATCCCCAACTTACCTCTGTCTCTTGCTCCAACTAGGAAGGCAATGACTTGAAGGATGGGGTGGAGCTGCTACTGGAGATGTTCCCAGCCTGTACTGTGAGCCAGGCAGAGAAGGCACTTGCCATGGCCTTGGGGAACTTGGAGGAGGCAGTGCAGTTAATTGTGGAGGAGAAGGTGGAAGTTGGCCCAGCAGGTGTGAGTGTGAAGGTACTGTACTGTGAGCTGGGTGGCAGTGGGTCAAGGAGCAGGGCAGAACTCAGGGACACACAGGCGTTCGGCGGTCCACTGCAAGCAGAAGCTTTGACTGCAGGAACTTTCTGTGCAATGAGCCAGGAGGATCACCCAGAGCAACAGCCCCTCTCCCTCCCTTGGCTGAGTACAGGCCATACCCACAGCCGAGCCAGCACCCCAGCGGAGCTGTGGCTGGCACCCCCCTTCCCACAGCGGCTGGAGTGCTCCACCAGCAGCTGGGCTCACTGAGCTAGCAGGGGGGTAGCTGTACACCCCACGTGTTTGCTACTCACGCACTCGCCTTGTCTCCTCCCAGGAACTGGCACGGCCCCGCAAAGCGCCCAACCACGAGGAACTAAAACAGGTTATCCTACAGAAGTAAGTACCCAGCAGCAAAGAAGCCCTTATTCTGCTCCCAATAAAAGAGGAGGTGGCAGTTTGGGGAAGGTCAGAATGACAGTGTGGTCTATAAAGAACTTGGGGTTATGATGCTTAGTAAGGATGCCATGAAGCTGATTTGGGTATAGCTGAACACATCTAAGCACAAATATAATCATCAGGTGGGGGAAAAAAAAAACAGGTTTGGGTTTCTTTTAGAGCTCTGGCACAGAAACAGATTACCTGCACCAGCTGGGTCACAGCACTGGCTGTGTGTGAGGTTTCAGCCTCCTACAGGTATAGCGTAAATCACAGTACTGTCAGCTAAGGTCCCAGTTAAAGGTTCAAGGCATGAACATCATGCTGCAGCTCAGGTAACACATGGTAACTTGTAGAACCACAGCAACTCATTCGTACCTCCATCCTTGGAGACAGTCCAAACAAGGCTAAAGATATCTTTAAGAGACTGCCTGTACAGCAACACTGGGAAGATTAAATCTCAGTTGTTGATAGTGTGAATTCAATGCATTTAAAGAAACCTCTCCGAAGTCCCCCCTATGGACTTCTTGGAAATGAAAGTGGCTTTAGATTGGTTTACCTTTATTCATTTCCAAAAGCATTTAATTCTCAATAGGAGAACCCACAGTGTGGTTTCATCGATCTGCTTTAAGAGCTCAGCTTTCATGAGTATCCTCCTGCAGGCACGCAGATTCCACATGTCTGTCCAGCCATGTCTTTTCCACCACTTTACATCCTCCCCAGTGACAGAATAAACAGTTGATGGGCTAGGGAAGGTAAAGCAAGGCAGAATGGCATCCAGACAGAATTAGCATCCCTGTCCTTGCCTGTCTCCTGTGCAGGCTTATTTCAGAGTGACATGCAAGGGAACAAAAAAGCACCAGCTGTTAGTTATGTTTCTGGGAACTTCACTTTAATGACATTTTGGCAACATCCTGTATTTTAAACATCACTCAAGCACAGGTACAGAGAGCAGATCACCATAGCTGAAGATACACAGGAGCAATTATACTAACTACTGAGGGAGAAGTCATGGTCAGATGTGCTGTCCACCTGCTAAACCAGCACCAAAGTCTCAAGAGTAGTGACTCAGCAGTAAAGCAAGCAAATGCTTGCACCCTGATGTTTCAGTCACACAGGGAATGAGGTGATGCTTTTATGAAGTTGCTTCCAGCACAGACCTGTTTCATAGTCAAGTAGTAGGAGGAGTGTGAAAAGAACACCATCTCTTCAGGGCAGAAGCAGCCAGCTTGGTCCTGTAATCTCACCTTTGTCTCCTTTGGCTGCCATCACTTGGGCTTAGAAGGAGCAAAGCTGCCCCAATGGCAGAGCACACCAGACCTTGGCACCTCTCTCAGTTGTGCAGGGGCAGGCAGCATTCTCAGCAGCCTGTTTTCAATACCCTTCACGTGCGGCCAAGGATGCTACTCCAGGAGAATCCTGCTGGATTCTCACCAGAAGGATGACACACTTCTTGCCTGTTTCGTCCAGAGGGGAACAGTAAGTGCTCCTATCTGCAATCTAGGCAAGTAGGACACATTGCACAGCCACAAACCAGCCAGGGGAGAAAGGACATAAGCTGTGAATAGCCCCAGGCAATGCACGTTACCATGTTCACTAAATGCTGCTTCTGTTTCAGATACATGATGGTGGATAGTGCAGATGATCAGAAAACACATCGGCCAGCTCCTCCCAAAGAGGTAAGAAGAGCAGTCCCAGCTCACCAGCAGTTTGAATGTCCTTTGGCTACAAGGTTTAAAAATCAGGCTGCGAGACCAAAAAGCAAAGGGGCAGTCCCAAGGCAGGACTGTTCACAGACCCTGCTAGTCAGCAAAGAAGGAAGATTAGCTTAGCTAAGGTGCTGCAGGGTCTGTCAGTTCCTACCATTCCTGACTAGCATGGCTCCTGCTCCCCCCGCATCAGACAGCTTCCTTCCCAGTTTTGGCCAAGATTCCCAACACAAAGGATGGATAAAGCAGCCCACTCCAGTCTTCCTGCACCCCAGAGCACAGCTCTGCTTCTGCTTGTCCCCTCCCTCTCCCTAGCAGTGTGGCTGTCCATCCACTTGGTGTTAATGTCTTTCCTCTCCAGGCTCCCAAGAAGCTGATCCGCTATATCGATAACCAGGTGGTGAGTACAAAGGGAGAGAGGTACAAAGACATCAAGAAGCCTGAGAGTGAAGAGATGAAGAGAACCTACATCAGCCTCAAACCAGCCAGGAAGTACAAGTTCCACTGACAGCCAGGTCCTCCTGCACTTCAGCCTCCACCTCGCTGGCCAGGCATGGCAGGATGGACATGTGGCACTAGGGGTGAGGGGACTCCTCCACCTGTCACTAACTGGAACTAACCTGGGAGCCAGGATGCTGCTTTCAGCTTCCTCAACTAACCCAGCTGACAAGGAGGAGCCTTCCCTCCTTGTGTAACTGTCCCTCTGCCCCCAGGGGCACACTACAGCAGCTCTCCGGGGCCTGGGCATTCTCTGCTACTCCTTGCATGGGACATTTTTAGACCTAAGATGTGGCTTGTGCTTTTGCAGCAAGCTTTTTACAAGTCTGTGTGCACTGTTGCTTTAAATTGAGTGCCAGTGTTAATAAAGATGATGTGAGTTGGTGTGTAGTCCAGCTGGAGCATGCACATGCTTTACAGACACCGCCTCCAGTCCCTCCTGGGGCCAAAGATAGGAGCAGGGTCATCCTCTCTTCCCTTAATTACTCTCTTCATCACGTTCACCACAAGATGTAGCTGCTGTTTGGTTAACCACCTAGTGGATACAACGGCTGAGGCTGAACTCCAGACCAGAGCTAGGCTCTCCCTGCCAACGCAACCTGCAGCACTCCATAAACTCCAGCTGACATCATGGCCAGGGCTACTGCCATTTCTTACCACTTTTGAGTGCCAAAGCTCCAGCCATGCAACATGGAGCAGGATATAGTAGCAGGCCTGGGTGCTACTGAAATGTTAAGTCAGAAGCTGGAAGAAACAAATGGCAATGACTAATTGCTTTCAGTGACAGCACAGCTAGGTTTGGTCAGTGAAACTGCAGTTAGGAGTGTGTTCCTGCCTTGTGCTAGCCTAAACCAGCACCCTTGGCCTGGACAGACACACTGCCGGTGCTGGGGCCATGCCAGTGCTTTGGTGCCAGGCTGGACAACGGCTGCATGCTGGAGCTGGGCTCACTCCGCCCTCCTCCCAGAGCCCAAGAGGAGGGCTGGTGGCTTTTCTCCTTTCTGCTCCAGCTGGCCTGGTTTGTTCCCAACAGCTCTGCTGGCATGCTCTGCACACCCACCCCAGGGGACAGTCCCCATCAAAAACTCTCCTGCTCTCTGGACAGCTGCCACTTAGAGATTTAAAATACAACAAATAATAAATCCTATTAGCTGGCCTGGCCAAGGCCTGTTCAGCACCATGGTGTTCCTGCAAGTCACTCGCTCTCTCCACGCCACTGCAGAGGGAGTTGCTTTCCCCAGAGGCACCAACGAAGC